CTATCATTTCAGATTTTATATATATATATATTTTTTCTTAGTATATCTTTGAGATACATAATGAATACACTCATTGTGGAGAATTGATCTGTGTACATGTGACATCCTAGTTCTCATTTCCTCTCCTTACCCTCTCCTTCTATCTAGATGCCCTTCACATCATCTAAAGGGCTGCCTCCTTGGTTCCTGTTGTCTGTTGTCTTTTCTTTTGCTTTTTGAATTACTTATACTTTGGGTTTCTCTTTTTTAAAAAAATGCAATATTTAACCTTCTGCATTTCACTTAGCATTATGGTTTCAAGATTTTTGGAGTAGAGATGCTCAACTGGTCAAGTCTATGTAGTATTCCAAAAGCTTAAAGAATTCCAAAATCTGAGCCAGGCAGGGGGCATGTTCCTATATTTTCAGCTGCTCAAAAGATTAAGGCAGAAATTTCCCTTCAGCCCAGGAGTTTGACACCAGCCTGGGCAATAAAAGATGTTGTTTCAGCAAACAAAAACAAGCTGGGTCTGGTATGGTAGCACACCTGTACTTTCAGCACTGAAGGAAACTAAGGCAGGAAAATTACAAGTTCAAGATCTTGCTGAGTAACTTTGAAAGACTCTGTCTTAACATTTTAAAAACAAAGAATAAAAAGGGCTAGAGATATAACTTTGTGGTAGAGTACAGTACCCCTGGCTTCAAAAGTAATACACACACCAAATAAAATCTGAAATACTTCCGGTCCCAGGTATTTTGGATAGGAGATACCCAACTGTACAGACATTCCTGATTTAATAACCTATTTATTTAGTAACTTTGTATTTACAACAAGGTTCAGACATCAGACCTGCCACTCGGACATACCATCTGGTTTTTTGTGGTAATTTCTGTCCATCTTCATTATAAAACCTCAATATCTTTTTGTTGTACAGTACACCTTGTTTATGCACAACTGCAACTTGTGCTTATTGTATAGTACAATACTTATGTGCTGCAAGTAAGAGTTATGCAAATAATCCAGGTCTGGTGACACACTTCTATAGGCTACACAGTGAGAACCTGTCTCAAAAATAAAAAAATAAAACAATTCAAAGCCTTACCCTTGAAGAAATGAGGAAGGTTCCATTTTGTTCTTGGGATCCCTGAGCTATTTCTTGAGTGCTGGGATCACAGAGGCACACCACCACCTCTGGCTAAGGCTCTGGATTATAATGACATCACTTTTGCCACCCTGTGGTAGTTAACGACTGAATACAGAATCAAGAGGAGGGAAAGTAAACTCCACTTAATGGTAAAAGTGAAAAATATTTGCAGCTTTCTGTAATTCAGTGAACAGTCTGCCCTTTGACCCCAAGGTATTTATATTCCTCCTATAAGCAAAATGTATTCATTTTCTCTCAAGATATATGCCAGTCCTATTAAATCAGGAGTTGTCAGCGTTTTCCAATAAAGGGCCAGGTAGTGAATTCTGTTTGGCTTTATAAATAGGCAAGGTCTGAGACACTTACCTCTGCCATTGTAGTAGAAAAGCAAATATGTGGCTGGCTTCTACTACTAATCTACAGATGTGGCAGCAGATTAGATTTGACACCTGGGTGGTGGATTGTTTATCTCTACATTAGGGCTAGAGTCTCAAAGTCCAAGATCTTGATATCTCAGTCAGGTGTAAGTATGACTGAAAGAAGTGGCTCCTCTTGAATCTGAAGCCTGAAATAAGGAGAAGACATATCTGCTTCCAAATAGTGGGACAGGAGAACTATTCAAAATGGAGAGAAAAGCAGGAGGCCTCTCCAACAGCTGGTCGATTGCAATTCAGAATTCCAGTGCGAATATGTTCTGAAATCTTTTATGAGGACCCAGTCTTATTCCTCGAGAGTGGCACTCAGTGACTATCAGCTCTGCCCTTGATGCTCCCTGTCTCAGAATCATTCTTTACCATAAAAAAGATGTCTGTTTACATGACTACAGTATTTTTCGTCATCTTCTTACCTATCCATAGTAAGTTGGAAGCCAAAGGTCTCTTCTTTTTTGAACAATTTTTATCTTTTAACTTAAACTAGTATAATTCCTTTTTAAAACTTCAGTCTTCTCAACTCTTATTTTGACAGAAACCATTTCATGTTACTTTAAAAATAATGGTCTCAGCTGAACATAACAATACTTAATGGAAAATACATGTTCCATGTTATGTCTGAGATGTTTGATATTCAGATAGTGAGGTTAAACTCAACTGCCTATGTTATAGGGTAATAATATTAAGCTTCTCTTCTGGAGGGTTAACAACTTAAGTTTGCAGACTAAAAATTTAGAGAAAAAGAAGGGCTACAAGGATAGTCAACATTTTGGCCCTAGCCATTCAAGGTTAGTGAGGACTCAGGACATAAGAGAACCTGTACTGTAACATCCTGTAACTCAGTGGTGTCCCAAATTTTCTGATCAAGGAGTTTATGGAACCACAGAGGAAAGTGATCAATGATGTATAATGCACCTAAGGAGAGTCACCTAGAGAGAAAACATTCTCTCAGGCTTTCACAGAGAGCAAATTGGTCAAGCAGTGACCATGACTCATCCACCTGGCTGGCACTGACAAAGGATCTACAAACTGCAGTACAGGGTTTCAGGGTAAATCCTGAGGGGATTTGACTGACCTTGTCAGTTATGTTTCTTGTTATATATGTCTTGTTTTATCTTGGTCTTAAACATCCAGCAGAAAAGTATAAAAACGAGGTATAAAAAGTAAAGCCATATTAATATGCTAAGCTGTAAAAGGCTCAAGTCAACAACTTCTGACATTGTCAGTCCTATGAATAACCCACTACTATTATAGACTACTAGACTGTATTGTATTATTTTGCTGAATTCACTCACCTACAATATTTAAATGGCAATAGAATATCCATCTCTAACAAAACTAAACAAAAAAGGAGGATATAAATGAAGGACCATTTTGTATCTGTATACACAAAATAGCATAGATATACAGCTACTTTCTCTTAATTCAGTGAGAAAAAAGATTTGTACTAATAGTGTTTGGACAGGATATCATGTCTGCATCTTGTACTATGAATAACTACTATGAAGACAACAATACGCAATGTATTAATTATTGTAATTGTCCTACTATCCTGTTTTGAAACTGTCTCAATGCTATTTGTTTCTCAATGAAACTAATTAAAAAAAAGAAATGTCTCTATTCCAGTTAGGAGTACACAGCAACTAGTGAACCTTGGTTGCTGTGTAATGAAAGTAAAAGTAAAATGATATATAAATTCAATATATGTGTGTATTATATATATAAATATATAATAAATAAATATATATAATATAAACTAAAAAAAAATAGTCTTTTTTCAACTTTGGACTAAATGGAAATGCTACTAAGGAAAAATGCCCACTTCAGATGGATCTTCAGCTACAGATTTTTGTTTTGTCTTTTTAGGCGAGGTCTCTCTATGCACTTCACAATGGCCTTGAACTAACTGTGTAGCCCAGGTTGGCCTCTAACTCCCAGCATCTTCTTGCCAGCCCAGCCAGTTTTGATGTGTTCTTGTCTTAACTGCTATTCTGATTTAATCATTATATGAGGCCATTTATCATGTTGAACATCCTTTCTGCAGATTCTGAGAATGAAAAATACTGTAATTTTCAAATCCAGCAAGATCTAGCTCTCTCATTCAAATGATGGTTTAAGGGGGCCAGGGAGATGGCTCAGTGGAATAAGCGCTTTCCTGGCAAGGGCCTGAGTTCAATCCCTGGTTCCACCCAAAAACAAAACAAAACAAATTATGGTTTAAAAAATAACTATGTGCTTAAATGTTTAATGAAATGAAAAAAATAGTTCATTTTTAACCCATCTTACACCTTCCATATGTTCTTTTAGGCAACCAAAAGAAACCAGTTGGGAGTCAAGGGTGGTGTTTCACACCCGTAACCCCAGCACTTGGGAGGCTGAGGTGGAGGATTGCTACAAATTCAAGGCCAGCCTGGGCTACATAGTGAGTTTAAGGCCAGCCTGAACTACATAGCAAGATCCTGTCTCAAAAAAAAAAAAAAAAAGTGTTCTTCCCTGTACCATCACAAATCCTCTGTAACTGCTCTTGGATATTTTGCCATAATTATAAAAGGGTAGTTGAACAGCAACACCATTCTGCACTATGGCACAGGTTATAAACTTAAGTAGAGTTTATCAGCAGCAACAAATATTTCAGCTTTAAAATATAAAAGTAGGGTACAAGTTGCATGTTTAGTTCTGGAAAAATTGTACAACATGTTGATAATGATAGCTGTGGTTGCTACAAATTGCCTCGTTTACCTTTAAATACTGTTAATATGTTATGCATGCAAGTGGAAGGGGTGGAATTGTGCATTCAAGTGAGGACTTTAACTTTAGTATTTGGCAGAGTTGCCTTCTGTCTACCAGTTCAAAAGCTCAATGTGTTTTCATATAGAAAATATATATATATACACTAAAAATTTTCAGTCTGTTAAACACCTTTACTCTGATTCAGTCTCTTCAGATATTCTTGTGCAGCAGTGACTCTTGTGTGTAAATGCTGTGTACTGAGAATACACACACAAAAAAAAAAAAAACTGTGTACAGAATAATGCCTCATACCAATCAGATGTCCATTTGTAAATATGTTTAAGAACCTTTTACTTCTTAGTGTTAGAAACTCAGAACTGATTAAAGTCTCATTCTTGTCCAAAAAAAGGATGCCCTTTCCATCTTTCGTGGACTAAAACATGAGCTGTTTTGTTCCTGTCTCTAGTAGCAACCCTGTCACCCTTGTCAGGCCATCACTGCTGTGCTCTGTAAAGTCTCTGCTGCTAACCTGCTTGCCTCTTGCTGGTAGATAAGTGGCAGGGAGTGATTTTCAGCTTTTTTTTCTTTTAATTTTTCTTTTCTTTTTTTTTCAACTATTTTTGTTCACTTCAATGTGATTTTGTTGTTTCTTTCAATTTAAATTTTTGTCCTTCATTTGTTAAGTTCTACACAACTGTTTCAATGGTAATTGTACCACAAAGATGCATCCCACAGCTTTTAGTAACTCTTACAGATATTTGAGTTGTTATTAGCTTATTTATAGTACTTTCTTCACTCAGGAAATACATCACAATAAATATGAAACCTATGCTATAAGCTTATTCATATTACTTTTTTTACTCAGGAGATACATCACAATACATATGAAACCTATGCTTTAGTAGATATGAATATTCATTATAAATATCTATAATTACTATAATAAAATGATTTTGAAGGGGGAGAGGCAGTAAAAAGAATTAAGATGTGTTATGTAGGCATGCCAGCTTCCCACAGTGACTGTAATTATGTACTGCAAACATGTACTAGTAAAAAATAAATTTTGAAAATAGCTAGGTTATGGTAGAAAATCTTATGATTCTAGTGTACAGTGCCAGGCATCTGATGTTTGAGATGTCTTAATAAAGTTACATTTTAAAAACTTAAATTTTAAAATAAAAAATGATTTTTAGAAAATCTTATATATGGAAAGATCTGTGTAGAAATGTTTCATTTGTTCTTAAGAACTTGAGTGTAGTGGGGCTGGGGAGATGGCTCAGTGGAATAATCGCTTGCCTGGCAAGCACAGGGGCCTGAGTTCAATCCCCAGTTCCACCAAAAAAAAAACAAAACAAAAAAAAAACTTGAGTTTATTTCATAGTTGGAAAAATGTATTTGTATTAATGAATTTGTTGCTTTCTAGGAATCTGAATATGTTTCTGCTCATCTTCATGAATGGATAGATCTGATTTTTGGCTATAAACAGAGGGGGCCAGCTGCAGTGGAGGCACTCAATGTTTTCTATTACTGTAGTTATGAAGGTAAAACAAAAGAACTTTTTCTTTTGCATTATTTGAAAGTACCATCCAGGATATGATTACACATATTTTGAGCCTATTTAATATGTGGAAAACCACATTAACAAAACCTCTTTTTTATTATCATTGTTTTTAAGTGTTACTGGGGAATTGATCCCAGGGGATTTGCAATGAAATGTGTCACTTTTTTGTTGAGGTATGGTCTCTCACTAACTTGTCTGGGTTTTCCTTGAATTCAAGATCCTCCTGCTTCATTCTCCCAAGTGCTACAGTGTACACCACCACACCTAGCTAACAAAATAGTTCTATTTGAAAAATTAAGAAGCTGCTGCTTTTTTTGGTAATAGGGAACTGTGTATATGCAAATCTAATTATAAATGCCAATTATTGGTGTCACAATTTTTGATCTGTCATATGCACCTTCTTTATTCAGATTCTACATTAACTATTCTTGTTAAATTATTAGCACACTTTGAAAGAAGTACTCTAGAATCATGAATAATAAATTCCTCAGATTTTATTACTTGGTTCTTAGAATCAAATTTCTTATCACTTTTTTTTTTTAGTCTTTCATAAATCTTTATTTTTTTTCAAAGTTTTATTGATAAACAGATAGCAATGAGACAGTTTCAAATCAAATCGGAAGTACAGTTTCAACAAATAATACACTGCATATATTCTTCTTAGTGGTTAATTGCTGTACAAGATGCGGACTTGTGATCCTATTTACAAACACCATTAGAACAAATCATTCTATTCATTAAGAGGATGCAACTATATATCTATCCCAACCACTTTGAATACACAGATACAAAATGGACATTCATAGGTATACCCCATTTTTTCTAAGTTCCGTTATTGAATATTATAGGCGTGTAATCTTATCACTTTACAAAGCTGAAAAGTAGTTCTTTCTCTCTCTCTCTCTCTCTCTCTCTCTCTCTCTCTCTCTCTCCCTCCCTCCCTCCCTCCCTCCCTCCTTTTATCCCTCCCCCTCCCTCCCTTCCTGTTTCTCTCTCTTTCTCTCATGGTGCTAAGGATTGTACATGTAAAGCAGGCACTCTGCCATTGTGTGATACCCCAGATCTCTTTTAAATCTTAATTAGAGCTAGTAATTTCAAATTTTGTGAATAGTGTGAAGTTAATACTTGAACTTGAGCAGACCCCCTGTGACGTTTGGTAAAGACACATTCCCTGTGCTGTATCCATTGAGGTAACAGATGTGTTAAATAAAGTAGTATTAGATGGTTATTGGGAGCTTGGACTTTCCCAGTTTGGCCAGCTACTAGCCATGTGATGATCCATATTAAGTGTGACTGTGTATAATCAATAAACAAGAATATCACCTTCCCCAGACTTTAAGATACAACTTACAGCTATGTTTTTGTGTATTACTTTTGTTTAAACTTTTCATGAAGAAACCTAAAATTATGTGTAGTATGAATACAATTTATATTTTTCCAATAAACTTTCAAAGAATACTAATTAATTAAATAATGGATAGCATTTATCATTATGTTAATAGTGGATAATTTACTGGTTTTTAGAAAATTTTCTCTTCATAATGTTATGAGCTCAAAAACGTTTTGTTAAAAATAAACTTATCAGGGGCCAGGGAGATGGCTCAGTGGAATAAGTGCTTCCCTGGCAAGCGCAAAGGCCTGAGTTCAATCCCTGGTTCCACCAAAAAAAAAAAAGCAGAAGAAAAAAAAAAATAAACTTATCAAAAAAAATAAAATAAAAAATAAAACCTCTTTGGGCCAGGGAGATGGCTCAGTAGAATAAGCGCTTGCATGGCAAGCACAAGAGCCTGAGTTCAATCCCAGTTCTGCCAAAATACATAAACAAACAAACTTATCAGTGCTAGGTCTAATATTAATGATGTAGCTTGCTGATTTGCTGTTACTCTTTAGTGAGTGGATTATTTCTGCTTTCAGGAGCTGTGGATCTGGATGCTTTAACAGATGAAAAGGAACGAAAAGCCTTAGAAGGGATGATTAATAATTTTGGACAAACACCTTGTCAACTGTTAAAGGTACACCATATAAATTATTGACAACTTAAATCTAAATTTTTTTTTTTTTTTTTTAGGGAAGGGTCTACAGGGTGTTCAGGGTTCACTACTGGATTGGACTCATAGTGATCCTCCTATTTACAGCTTCCCAAGAGCTGGGATTACAGGCTCTCACCACCATGCCCAGTCTCAATTGTCCTCTCAGCTCGACCTGAGGGCCGGGCCAGCATGGCAAGCCCAGGGAGCGAACCCCCAGCCCCTGCACCTGCTTGCAGGTGATTTAATCCGCTGAGCTATTTGGCCAGCCTTTATTTATTTGTTTGTTTGTTTGTTTTGGCGGGGATGATAAGGTCACTAGGGATCAAACTCAGGACCTTGTGCTTTCCAGGCACACACTTACACCACTGAACTATCTCCCTGCCCCTTAATTCTAAGATTGAATTGTTAATACTACCATTATTTTAAGGACTTTAATGATTTTAGAGCATTATTTCAAAATTACTATACAGAATTTGGAAAATAATTATACTGTCACTTAAAAAGTAAACATCTTGGGCTGGGGAGATGGCTCAGTGGAATAAGTGCTTCCCTGGCAAGCGCAAGGGCCTGAGTTCAATCCCCGGTTCTGCCAAAAAAAAAAAAAAAAAAAGTAAATATCTTTAGCTGGGCATAATGTACTTACCTGCAATCCTATCACTTTGAAGAGTAAGGCAAGAGAATTGCTGCAAATTTTGAGCCCAGACTGAACTACACAGTGAGACATTCTCCCAAAAAAAGGGAAATAGCTTTAATTGATTATTCCCCTTTTCTCTTTTTTTCCTCAGTTCTAGGAATTGAACCCAGGGTTTCATGCACACAAAGAAAGCACTCTACCACTGAGCTATGGCCCCTAGCCTCACAGAAAGGTTTACACTTCGTTTAAAAAAACCCAGTCACTCTATTTGTTTGTGAGATAGAGAAACTGAGTATGAAATACTATGTGCTATTAAAACTATCTTTATATTAGGACTCCCTCCATATGGAAAAATTCTACTTGCTAAAATCAGCCCCAGGGGGTGGTGAGATGGCTCAGTGGTCTAAAGCACCTACTTAGAACAAGCTTAGCAAAGCACACGGACCACGGTTCAATCCCCCAGCACCACATGCCAGCCAGCCCCGCCCCCTGGTGGGCTGAGCTGGCCACACACACACACACACAAATAAATAAATAAATAATTTTTAAAAATAAAAATAAAATAAAATCAGCCCCAAAGAGGTGATGACTGTCTTGAATTGAAAGTCTTAAGAATCAAGTTATAATAAATTCAAATTATTAAATATTCCAAACATGGTGATACATGCACATAATTCCAGTTTCTGGAGAGGGTGAGGCAGAAGAATCTCACATTTGATGCCAAGCTGAAAGTTTAGCAAGATACTATGTCAACATAAAAAGGACTGGGAAGTCCGGCCAAATAGCTCAACGAATTAAAGTCCCTGCTTAGGCAGACACAGGGGCCGGGAGTTCAATCCCCAGGCCTGCAGTGTGGGCCCCACTCCCAGGGCGCACTGAGACTGCAATTGAGACTGTAATCCCAGCACTTGGAAGGCTGTAAACAGGAGGATCACTACAAGTCCAATCTACACAGTGAGACCCTGTAGACCCTGCAGACCCCATAGACCTTGTCCTAAAATACAAAAAAAAAAACCAAACAAACAAAAAAAAAAAAACTAGGAAGCTAGCTCAGCAAGAAAGCACTTCTAGCATTCATGAGGCCCCATGTTCAATCCCCAGTCCTTCAAAATTAAACTAAAATAAAATGAGTAATACTTAATAAGGACTAAATGTTTAAGTAGTTGAAACTGTCATATCTTTTTCCTGTAATCTAATGTTTTGTAAAGCTGAAAGAATCTTTCATTTAGATAGCATTCTATTCTGTATTCTGCTTTTGGAATATTTGTTGTATTTGCTTATTAATATGACTGATTCTGTGTCTGATAGCAAAGTTAAGGAAAAATAATTACTTATTTGAAAAGTATGCAACAATATCTGATTTATACTTACATATTTATTTTTCAGTCTTATCCAAGAATTAAAGATTTGCTCTAATTATAAATTTTAAGCAATGCATTTAATTTTACCAAACATTTATTAATGCCATGTTTAAGATACTGTTCTAGATGTCAAGAAATATCCAAAAATGAGCAAGACTTATATTTGGCTTTAAGATATTGATGGCCTGGATGGGGAAGACCATGAGTAGCTGCATATAATCCTCATTTGAGAACTGAATAAAATTCTAAAGTAATTTTCCAAGGAAAATAATAAAAGAATAATTATTATAAATTAGAAATTTGCTAGAGATATATCAGTTAAGAAAAACTTCCAGAAGAAGAAAAGAGAAAAAAAGGGGGAAAAAAAGTAGGGGTGCTGGCCATATAGCTCAGCAGATTAAGCACCTGGGAACAGGCACGGGGGTGGGGTGGAGGGTCCATCCCCAGGTCTGCTGTGCTGGCCCTGCACCCAGGGTATGCTGAAAGGGCAATTCAGACTGGGCATGGTGTGGTGTGCCTGTAATCCCAGCACTTTAGAGGCTGTAACCAGGTAGATCACTACGAGTCTGATCTAGTAGTGATACCCTGAACACCCTGTAGACCCTTTCCCAAAATACAGAAAAAAAAAAAAAAAGAAAGAAAGAAAAAGAAAAACTTCTAAGTCGCAGACCTGCAGTTTCATAGAAATGAAGAGAATATAAACTGTGGATGAGTGAGCTGACCCAAGGCTGGAGCTGTGTATAAGGCATGGGATGCAGTCTCTTGTAGTCGGAACCAGAATGTGTGAAGATTCAACAAGAAGTGCTTTAATACAATGAAGAAATTTCTCCTTATCTTTATTTCCAAGGAACCACACCCTCCTAGATTAACAGCAGAGGAAGCAGTACAGAAGCAGACCAAAACAGACTTTTCAACCCTAAACCTGTTTCAACACCTTCCTGAACTCAAGTCTTTTTTTATAGAGGTAATATCCAGTTGCATAATATCAAAGGGTTTTCTCTGAATTCTGCGCACCTTAAGGTTCATATTCTTTAATAGAAGTGTTATGTAATTTAATTCAAAGTAGTATATCATTATACTCTGTTCCTGAATTTTTTTTTAAACATTTTATTGGCCGCCAGAGAGATAGCTCAGTATCATAAGTACCTGCCTGGCAAGCACAAGATCCTGATTTTGATTCCCAGTACAAAAAAAAAAAAAAAAATTAAAGGTGTTTGTTTGTTGCTGGGTAGTAGCAACAAACTGTTTCTCTCTTAGCTTGCTTTCTTCTACTTCACATTTTCCTAACGAACAAATAATTTGATCTAAAATGCTTTTGGTGACATTTGAAATTATATATAGAGAGAACTGATGCTTTAATAATTCTTAATTCTGATGTCTGCTTATATATAAAATATAGGTCAAGTGCTGGGGATCTAACTGATTGGTAGATTATTTTTAAACCTACTTGTGTGAGGTCCTAGATTGAATCCTCAGGACTGCAATAAAAAGAAAAAGAAAAGGAGAAAAAAAAAAAGCATACATGGCCCAGTAATTCACAGTGTTTCAGAAAGACTAGTCAAGTAAAATAGTAGTCAATGCTATAATAGTACCTTCAGCCAGGTGTGGTAGTGCACACCTGTAATCCCAGTACTTCTAAGGAGTTTGAGGTTAATTTGGGCTACCTAATGAGATCAGCGCTAGCCTGAGCTGCATAGTAAGACCTTGTCTCAACATAACCTAAAAAAGTATCATAAAATTTAAATTTAAAAGTTCAAATATTTATATATATTGAAATACTTCAAATAATTCAGAATGTGCTTACAAAATGGATTTATACCTATAAATTTGACCATGACATGTAAAATAATATTTTGGCAAAAAGAAAATGAAGGTAGAGAAGTTATAAAGTTGAAAAGAATAGTTTATAAATGTGCACAGAGTAAACACTCTCTCGCCAATACCACAGAGGCTGGCAAAGTTTCTCAAAGGATCAGAATTTTATAGGCCATGAGGTAAAATTAAGGGTACTGTGTAGGGACATATGTAAACCTTGTGGCAAACCTATGGCATGTGTGCTGCAGTGGGCTGTTTGTATCATTGAAAACTCTTAAGAGGTTTTCCATCACCAAATATAACCACTAAAATGAACATCCTAAAAATACAGATATTAGCGAGGTGTGTTGATACATACCTGTAATACCAGCACTCAGGAGGCTGAGACAGCAAGATGACAATGAGCTTGAGGCTAGCCCATGATACACAGTGAGTTCAAGGCTAGCCTGAGCTACATTGCAAGACCCTGTCTTGAAAAATAAGCAAACAAGTAAATAAAAATCATTCTCAGCTTACCACTGACATACAGAAGGAAAGTGTTACAGAAGTTTTTGATAATTTGAGTGCAGAAAAGTTTTATGATATTTATAATACAGCTTAGGCCCAGAGAGATAGCTCAGTAGAATAAGCACTTGCCTGGCAAGCACAGAGTCCTGAGTTCAATCCCTGGTACTGCAAAAAAA